CCCGGAAATACAGTTGTATACATTGTTGAAAATAATTGTTGGATAAAATTAATAAGCATTTACTATACATTATTGAAGATAATCCAAATAATGTATGTTTGTTTGAATGTTCTTGTATTTTTAAGCAAAACCAAAGAAAAATTTTCTTACCAGTTATTACAATTTAGTAGCATAATATAGTACAATTATTTTAAAAATTAGGTAGTTTTAACACAAGGTATCATCAAAAGTAATTTATTTCTTATCTTTACCTTTGTACTGTTTTGGCTAATGTTTCAGAGCAGGGCTTGTTCACATAATAGTCCTATTATTATTAATAAGCTTAACATGCTTGAGGCCAATTGTGTTGGATATGTAGATTTACTAGATAAATTGTAGAAACTTTTGTTTTGACAATGAAAACATTTAACAAAAAGTAGGTATAGACTGACACTTTAAAAAATTTGAAAAGTCCAGAAAACTGTCTTGCTTAAGGTCATTGAATTATATTTGATCCATCCATTGAGGCTTCTGGAGCGTAACTCTAAGCATTGTATGCAAAAATTAGTTGGTGTTCTATTCGAGTTACTTTGTATGAATACAAAAAAAAAAAAACCAAGTAAAACTTTAGGTTATAGCTTCATCTTAAACTTTTGTTACATATAAGTTTGAAATAGTTTTTACATTTTATTTTAAACAATTTATTTTGTAGAAAAGAAAGATGTAACACAGAGCTTGGAAAGCTACACAGCAAAATGCCCTGGTACAATGGAATTCATCACTCTTCCAGATGGTTTGAAGTTACCTCCTGTTCCCTTCACCAAATTACCCATTGTGAGGTAAGACTCCAAAATACAGTCTTTAACTTTCCCACAGTACCTGTCATATTTTTTAAAGGATACTGGAAGGACTTCATCTTCTCAGTTTACGTTCACAATAACATGGAAAAATGTCAAAATGTCAAATTGTTTTGAGAAGTTCTTAGGCAAAAATAGAACCTTTGAACAGAAAATACTTTCTGTGGCCTTTAGTTTCAGAAGGAGAGAGGGTGGGTTTTTTTTTTTAAACTGTCATTCAAGAGTTTCTGATACAATCGAAGAAAAGTATTTTGTAATTGTAGCTGAGATTTAAGTTAGATACCTGATCATGCTGCAGGTCCATGACTTGGATATTGCCTATGTTGTTTCCAACTGTGGAGCTTGGAGCTCTGCTGGAACTGATGCCTTTTGTAGCTGGTCCTTTCCAAATGCTGCGTTTTCAAGCTGGCACCTTCATTGGCCTGTTGTAAATCTATGTTCCTTTTTATACCTGTGTGCCAAGGCACATCATGCAGTCAGTCCAATGAATAATGCCTTGTTTAGATTAAAGCCTCGCATGAAGTATTAGAGAGAGTCAGAGAGAGAGAGAAAACAGCCACTGGGCATCAATAATAAAAGAAAAGGCTAAAAGTAGTGGCTTTTTGAAGGAAAGATAATTGCTATTCAGAAAAAATATGGTAGAAGTTATTGAAAAGAGTTTGCAGAGATTTGAGTTCTTAGTGGGATGTCATCAAATGTTTCATGAAGCAAGAATTCTGGCATCATAAAGAGATAATAAAGTGTATAACCAAAGAGTGAAAATTATATTTATTTTCAGATTACTTTCAGTCTCAAAAAATGAAATGTTTTACTCCATGACCATTTGTTATGATACAACTAGTTTTACTATGTTTTGACTTCTTCAATTTTTTTTTCCACTCTCAAGAAAGAGACTTTGTCTAACTACTTGTAATGCATTTAACGCGATGGGTCTGTTCACACTAACTTTGTTGTGTGGGAGGTGGTTGCTGAAGGTGCAGGTTTGACTGGAGCACATGGTTGTATGTGGTCAGGTGGAATTTGTATGCAGAACCAGAACGGTCACACCGTTTCCAGTGGTGGCCTGGAAACAGTGTTTTTTTTTCTTCCTGGTTGGACCAAGTAGGAAGCTGTGCGCTGACAAGCTACCTGGGTCACCCCACTCTTGATGTCTACTCATGGGGCAAGAATGCACTTTCCCTGAGGTCTTCCAGCATTGTCCCCTCAGACTCAGTTAGCACTGACAAAAGAGCCTAGGGTGAATGTGCAGATACCTGCTTTGTGTTGCCTGTTCGGTGGTGCAGTGCTTATTTTGGAGTTGCAGCTGGTATCAGCTTCTTTGCTGGAAAACGTGCCACGTGGACAAATGATCCCGAAACATTAAATGTTAGAAACAAAGCTACATGTTACAGTGGGAAAGTTATTTGAGTAACTTATTATCAGCTGCCTTTGGGGCTGATTTGGTGTCACAAAAAATAGCTGTATAGAGCTAAACTAATCATATTTAACTATCCTAGATCATGTTTGCAGGCAAGACACATAGGTAGTCACTTCCAGGTTTTTCTAACTTAATTGAGATACCTGCCTTAAGATGAGTTGAATTACTGGAGTGTGTGGTCTATATTGACTCCTTTTCCGTTGACCTTAAAGATGTCCCGTGACAAGTTCAGGTAACTCTGTCTGTGTGTTAGGTGAGTTCCCTGGTCAGTAAGTTCTGAAGGCAGGTTCCCAGCTAAATACATGAAAGAGGCTTGTAGTTCTCCTGGAAGTTTTTAGACAACAAACTTAGTGCCAGATTTAACCTAGCCTTTGTATTTTAGAAAGAAAACTTAAATAGTATTAAAAAAATTGAAGTTAATTAAGCAACCTTGTATAGTCCTTTCTAGTACTGGAGTTATGTGACTGTAGAGGGAAGCTTCCATGAAAACTTTTTTAAGGTAAAATACTTTCTTTTGAGAGAAAGAGTGCTGTCAGACACTTAGTGTCTCTTGCAGTCAGTGTTCTAGGAATTACCTTAGTATTACACAGTATGAAGCCAAAACCACCTTCTTTAACCTGACTCAGTCTGCCTTGGCTGTCAAATAGGCACAGAAAAGTGATGCTGAAGCTCCCTTGAGTCTAACCCTTAATGTGTGCTCAAAAAGCAGCATTGTATTTAGCTGAGAAGCGTAAAATCCTGAATTAGTCTCAGGTTTTTGCTTTTTGCTTAACTTTTGAGCCATTGAGGAGGTAGATTGTACCAGATGTATTCCATAGTGCTTTCTTGTTCTTCTCTGTGCTGAATATCGAAAAAAATTCTGGAAGATATGGGAAATGCTAGTTCAATCTTTTTTTTTTATAGGAGTCATACATATAGAGACCAGTCAAAACTGTGGCAAGAGATTACTAAGACTTCAATGAGAAAGGCTCTGCCTTGCTTAAAATGTTTTGTATGCTGAGAGAAGGGGAGACAAGCACATTATATTTACTTGTTATTCCTAGGGCTAGCTTTAAGAAATTGCTTACCATCCACGTGCTTCACTTACACTGTCAGCTCGTGCTGACCTGGCTGAGCTTGGAGTGTGGAAAGTAGTTGCCGCTGTTTTGTGGTGGGGTGAGGAACCCAACATCAGCATCATGTAACAGCTAAGAACTGCTGTTTGTGCTCCTCTCCCTCTTTCCCCTTCTTGTCTTTTGAAAGTTACATAAAAATTGTAGTGACAAAAATCTGTAATCCAACAAAATATTAGTTGCCTAAATACAAAGCCTCCAGTTCCACCTACGCAGCAGGCCTCGTGTATTGTAGAGCTGTCCAGCTAGTTGGAAGATGGCCATGCTGCAGGACTGCAGAGCTCTTTGAGCTAAATCATGTTAATTTTTGAGACATAAATTTGTGGAAATGTGGTTTTGATCAGTGTTGAATAACCTAAGATTATGATTCAGTCCATGCTAGAGCCCTCTAGAAACACACACATTTACTGATGATGACGACTTCTATATACTGTTGGCATTTCATGGCCTACTAGTTTTCAATCCATTTAATGTGAGGTGCTTATTTTGGATGCAGATTTCTTAATCAAAATACTGTCAAACATTGAAATGCCACAGTGAAATTGGAACGTAGTTGCACTTGTTACCTTGTCCTCCCCCATACCTATAAAGCAACAGAAGAGATTTGGCTTGGCAAAATCTTTGTTTCATTGCTCATGTTAACTAGTATTTAATGTCGAGCTGTCCTTTAAGTATGGTATTCTTTCTAGTATGTCTCTTTTTTTTTTGCATGTATCATGTCTTTTAGCTAGATGTTTTGTCTATTATTGACATGCTTTAAATATTATATTTCTATGTATTTTCTTTTAGCTTTTGGCATTTTGGGATATTTTTTTTTTTGGCATTTCAAATACCAAGTGGTACAATCTGGACAGATACTTGATGAATTTTTATTTTTGATGAAGCTTCAGAAATTAAAAGCATGTTGGATCGGAAAGTATTCCATTATATCATACTATAAAATCATCATCTAGTATTCTCTGTAATGCAGAATAGAATAATTATTGTCTTTCTGTTCTAATAGGCGCACTATTCTCGTTTTCATAACTTACCTGCATTACAACTAATTTTTTTATTAATAAACTTAACAGAAGAAAGAATTTTCTTCCTTTTCACCACAGATGTCTTTTAGTCGCCCTTATATACTTACTACTTTAAATTTACTTGGTGCTATTTTTTTCCTTCCCTCTGTTTACTTAGTAGAGCGGGTTTTTTTTAAACTTTTTTTAATTTCCCCTCTAAGCAAGGTTGTTTTTAATTAACACAACTTTTTCCAAATACAAGATTTTAATCTTATGAGTAGCTAGTGAAATTATTTTGTGATTCCTAATTGTCACTCATTTGAATTCAGTTGGGCTGGGCCAAGGGCTAGAAAATCTGTGTTATTAAAGCTTTTCTCACAAACGAATTAATGTTCTGTGTATGACCTGTGAGGGTATGGCTGTCTAATATGTGCTTGAAGAATATTCCTTCCACTGTCATACATTAAGACAAAAAAGGTTATACACCAGTATTTATATAACAATGATGTATAACCCACAGCACTCCTTTCTTTACATAAAGTAAAATTCCTTTTTATTAACACTTTATCAAATTCAATGTTTCCTCAAATAAGTATCATTTACATCTTTTGCTTGAATTTACATTCTAATTTGTAACAAAATTCTATCAGAAGTGGTTTCAAAATATGAAATACTCAGCAATCTGTCATAGTTTCTCTTCATTCCTCAGGCTCGTTGACTGTTACTTTGCATTTAATTGCAATGCTGACACTAAGTATCACCAACAGATAATATATGGATGTGATTTATTTCTTGTTCTGAAATACTTAAATTCATAGAATCATTAGGTTGGAAATGACCTCTAAGATCACTAAGTCCACCTGTCAACCCAACACCACTGTGCCCGCTAAACCATGTCCCAAAGTGCCACATCAACATATTTTTTAAACACCTCCAGGGATGGTGACTCCAGCACTTCCCTGGACAGCCTGTTCCAATGTTTGGCCACTCTTTCAGGAAAGAAATTTTTCCTGATGTCCAATCTAAACCTCCCCTGGCACAATTTGAGACTGTTTTGTCTTGTCCTACCACTTGTTACTTGGGAGAAACCAACCCCCATCTTACTACAGCCTCCTTTCAGGTAGTTGTAGAGA